AAACCAAGCCCACAAAATACATTAAATATCTCGAGGCTAATAATCTCTGTGGTTGGGCAATGTGTCAGCCTCTCCCTGTTGAAATTTTTGAGTGGATGGGGCAGGATGACTCCTCCAAATTTGATAACTGGCGCGATTTTCCGTGCGTTCTCGAGGTTGATCTCGAGTATCCCGAGGAACTTCACAATTTGCATAATGATTATCCGCTAACCCCGGAGAGTTTCAGAGTTAAAGAAGTTGAAAAGCTGATTCCAAATCTATATAATAAAGACAAGTGTGTAATTCGTCGTCGAAACTTGAAGCAATATCTGGATCTCGGATTAAAGTTGACCAATATTCATCGAGGAATCAAATTTGATGAAAAGCCATAGTTGAAAAGTCACATTGAAAAGAACACTGAACTCAGGAAGAAAGCGAGGAATTCTTTTGAAAAGGATTTCTTCAAGTTGATGAACAACTCCGTCTTCGGGAAAAAGATGGAGAATATCAGAAAAAGAGTTGATGTAAAGTTGGTCAACAACCGAGAATCTGCGAGAAAGCTCACGGTGAAACCAAACTTTAATCATATCACGATATTCGATGAAAATCTCATCGCGATTCATATGAAACGAACAAAACTAATGTTTGATAAACTGATTTACGAAATGTCAATTCTCGACATCAGCAAGACTTTGATGTATGACTTTCATTACGATTTCATCAAGAAAAAATATGGAGAGAATGCAAAACTGTTACTCACGGATATTGACAGTCTGATGTCTGAGATTGAGACTGAAGACTTTTACGAAGATATTAAATCTGACGTCAGAGAACAGTTTGACACCAGCGATTTTCCTGGATATGATCCATCAGGGATTCAAGTGATAGGAATGTTGAAAGATGAAGCGAGAGGGAGGATCATTGAGGAGTTCGTCGGATTGAGGGCTAAATTATATAGTTTCAAGATTCATAAAGCAGAAGAGAAAAAACGTGTAAAGGAATAAAGAAATCAGTGGTGAAAAATAATATTTCACAGCAGGACTATAAAAATTGTCTATTCAGCAGAAAAGAGCAAATGAGGGAGATGAATGTAATTAGATCACATCGGCATGAGTTATTCACTGAGACAATCAACAAGGTAGCCCTGAGCGCTGACGATGATAAGAGATTGATAACGGAAGATGGAATTCACACCCTCGCGCATGGTCACAAAAGTTTCGCTTCGCTCGTATCGCTTGCGCCTATAGAATGAAATATGAATTAAAATGAATTCCGATAATATTCCATTCAACGCATTCATAGACGGTCCCATGAACTCAGGAAAGACCAAATACTTACTTCTGAGCGATGAATTCAACAGAAAGTTTGATTACGCGATCCTTCTCTGCCCCACTTACGCATTAAACGAGACTTACCAAGCGTTTGCCGAGGAAGATAGAGATTTCTTCGTCTTGACTCCTCATCGAGATCAAATCAATGATTGGTTGAAGATTACCAGTTTTGTGTTTGAGGGAACTAATTCCCTGATAATTCTCGATGATTGTGCCGCCTCCAGGGATGCGAAACGGAGATCAGGTGAACTGGTGAATTCGGCATTCAGCGCGAGACACAGCGGAATCAGTGTCTGGGTAATAACTCAGCAGCTGACAAGCATTGCCAAGTCTTTCCGCGAGGAAATCGTCGCGTTAGGATTATTCTATACTCCCTCCCAGAAAGACATGAAAGAGATATTTGATAATTACGGAGGAGGATTAACGAATTTTGAAAAGCTGAAATTGATTAACGAGTTGAAGAAAAAGAAATATTCACATCTGGTTTCCTCTCTCAGCCATCCTTTTGATATTAATCTTGAGTATTAAAATGGAAATCACTTAACAAGAAGCCTTGAAAGATGTAATGAAAATTCTTGAAGATGAACCTGAGTCGGGGGCGTTAGCCTCTCGTAGAGAACGGCTCGCGGTCCTGGTAGCCAGTGGGAAGGCGAAAGAGATGACTGGAACTGATCTGGCACAAGATCAAGTCAAGAGATTAAGTGAGAAAGATGTTGAGGAGAATTTCAAAAGAATAAGACTTCATTGTTTTCAAAGACTTGTGACGCGATGGTTGATACCTTTCTTCAGCTTAGTTGTGGATTGATATTCCATTTTCACCCCCTTGATCGGAGTAAACTCTTGAAAGACTTGAACGATAATTTCATGGTGAGAGAAGAACTCTCCATGATCGCCGGAATATTGAGCCTGAACTATGGAAAGTACATGGCAGTGGCGAGTGCAGTCTTACTGCGAGGAATGTAAAACTTGATAAGAACTTGCCTGAAGAACTCGATAAGAACTTAGAAAACACTTCTGAAGAACTTTAGTAAGTTCTTGAGAATATCTATAAAATGAATAGCGAAACAAATGAAGAAACTACTATTGAAGAACCCGTAGAAACCACTGAAGAGCCTGTAAAAACCATTGAAGAGCCCGCTAAAAAAGTGCCCTCGACTGTGAAAAAAACAAAACCCGAAAAAGATTCGGAGAGAGTCGGCAGAAAAAAGACTCGCAGAATTCAACAGAAAAGCAAGAGATGCAAAGCTACAATCTACGCCTCAGAAAGGAACTGATTTAGACTGGAATGTTAAATCTAAAAATGAAAATGAAAATTCTTCATTATCATTTTCACTCACTCAAGTTCTTTCAGCGGTGAATATTGTTGTTTCTCTCTAGGGATTATATTATAAGAGGGAAGAGTTAATGTCTCTCGTTAAACCTAAAAGGATTGAGCGAGAGCGAGCGTTGCGTTGCAACCTGAAGTTCCGGAGTGAAGTGAAGATCGAACATCCTCAAAAATAAAACCCATGGATTAGCCGCTACGATCACTGGAATAGCGGCTGGATATGGATGGGTCGCAAAGAAAGTAATTAAAGAGCCGATGACTTCTGATCCTTCGGTGAATATAATGAACTATGTGAAATTCACTGTCACGGTGGTAGTAGCGGCTTCTATCGCTACAAAACATTATCTCGAAGATCAAAAGATTTTGCAGAGTTAAATAAAACGTTGAGTGTAATTACTGTTTCCGCCTTGGGATTCGCCACTTTCTGCTCATTAGTTCAAGCGGTAATGATTATATTAAGAAAAGAAATTCAGGAAGAAATTGAAAATCAAAAATGTGAAGAGTAATTAGTTGTAACAAAATGGCGAAAAAGCGATAATGATTGGAGGAGCGATTATCAATGCCACGGCATTCGTCGGAGGAAATTATCTGGCAAAATATTTGAGTGGTGATTCACCTGGAGAAGAAAAGAAAAGACACGATTTTGCCGTGGAAAAATATGAAAAAGAATATCAAAAGTTTCAAGAAAACAGAACGAGGCTTCCCGATTGGATGGCCATTATTGATAGAATCAAAGATGAAGCGAAAATAAACTTTGAAAACACTGATTACGCTTTGAAACTTTGTAACAAGACTCATCAAGATCAAATGGATTTGAACGAAGTGCGAGAACCTCAGTTTTCAGGCGAGACATGCATACATACATACATTTTATTTTTGTTTTCAAAAAATTACAATTTTATCATGCTCGCGGGTAGCTGAGCTAATCTAGGCGGGTCATGTTTACACGAATTATGGCGTTTACAAACCTTCCGTTCGACAAAAACAGGGAGAGATGATTTACGTTGGAACTTCGACCCTGGCAATCGGATTGGCGGCGAGCCATTTCTTGTGAATTATCCAAGATTTATTACAGCCCCAAAGGTTTTTGGAAAGGATTGAATCCAGTGAAGAAGTTGGTTCAGACGGCTGGAGTCTCTGAAGATGTCGCAAAACTCTGGCTGATGAAGCAGGCCATCTGGCAGATTTATTTGCTAGCCCCGAAGAATATATATCCCGAGACCGAAGTTTGACGTTACATCCCCAAATTCAGTTCGTCAAGCCGATCTTCTTTTCCTCCCCCATGATAAACTCCCGAGAGGCAGAAACGTTTACAAGGACGCATTGACGGTCGTTGATGTCGCGAGCAGATTCAAGGCCGCTGAACCACTCACTTCAAAGGAGTCTTCGGAAGTTTCAAAGGCTTTTCAGAAAATTTATAGAGGACCATTAAAGTGGCCCTCTGATCTTCAGGTTGATCCCGGGCGTGAATTCATGGGTGAAGTTAAGAAAGAAATGGTGAAGCACGATGTAAGAATAGGAACCGGAATTGTAGACGTTCACCGCGATCAAGGAATCGTTGAACCTTTTATTCGAACGTTGAGCGAGCGTCTTTTCAGTTATCAATACAGTAAGGAGAGGAATATTAAATCCTCTGAGAGAAATGGAGAATGGGTGAACTGGCTTCCAGAAGTAGTGAAAGCTCTGAACAATGAGGTGACTCGTTTGACTAGAAAGAGACCCGTTGATGCCAACAGAGAGAAGGCGGTCGATGCAAAGAGTTCAACGAGTTATTGATGTTATCTGAGACCCGTTGGTTTGAAAGGAAAGCGATTGGATTATTTAGTGAATGTGAGATATCTCTATAGTGATGGTGAGCTTGAAGGAGAAAAGAATAGAGCCACGGTGCCTAATTGGCCATTGAAAGTTTACAAGATTGATAGGTTCATAGTGAATAAGGGAGAAAAGGTTCTGTATTATCTGAAGGATGGTCCGGGAAGGGCATTCGTCCGGAAAGAGTTGACGATAGTCTCGAGGGATACAGAGTTGCCTCCAGTCTCCTAATTTTTTCTCGCTAAAGGACAAAGCAGTATTTAGAAAATGAGAGGTCTGGGCAAGCCCGAGTCCCCAAGATCAATTTTTGGACCACTTTTTGACCTGCCAACGATATAATTATTTTTTGATTTTTCGGAAGTGGCTGAAAACGTTTTATTAATTCCAAATTAATCTGAAATATATTTTTGCAGTTTCAACTCAGTTATTTTC